ATCCATGCTTATAGCTCACATAACCCTCTAAAAATATTCGTTAAAAAATCCACGCTTATAGCTCTGATAACCCTTGAAAAAATGTTCGTTAAAAAATCCACGCTTATAGCTCTGATAACCCTTGAAAAAATGTTCGTTAAAAAATCCACGCCTATAGCTCTGATAACCCTTGAAAAAATGTTCGTTAAAAAATCCACGCCTATAGCTCTGATAACCCTTGAAAAAATGTTCGTTAAAAAATCCACGCTTATAGCTCTGATAACCCTTGAAAAAATGTTCGTTAAAAAATCAACGCTTATAGCTCTGATAACCCTTGAAAAAATGTTCGTTAAAAAATCCACGCTTATAGCTCTGATAACCCTTGAAAAAATGTTCGTTAAAAAATCCACGCTTATAGCTCTGATAACCCTTGAAAAAATGTTCGTTAAAAAATCCACGCTTATAGCTCTGATAACCCTTGAAAAAATGTTCGTTAAAAATCCACGCTTATAGCTCTGATAACCCTTGAAAAAATGTTTGTTAAAAAATCCACGCTTATAGCTCTGATAACCCTTGAAAAAATGTTCGTTAAAAAATCCACCCTTATAGCTTAAATAACCCCTTAAAAATATTCGTTGAAAAATCCACGCTTATAGCTCATATAACCTTCGAAAAAATATTCTTTAAAAAATTCACGCTTATAGCTCTGATAACCCTTGAAAAATATTCGTTAAAAAATCCACACTTATAGCTCACATAACCCACTAAAAATATTCGTTGAAAAATTCACTCTTATAGCTCATATAACCTTCGAAAAAATATTCTTTAAAAAATTCAAGCTTATGGCGTATTCTTTATAAAATCCACGCTTATAGCTCTGATAACCCTCGAAAAATATTCGTTAAAAAATAAACGCTTATAGCTCACATGACCCCTTAAAAATATTCGTTAAAAAATCCACGCTTATAGCTCACATAAACCCCTAAAAATATTCGCTTAAAAAACCACGCTTATAGCTCTGATAACCCTCGAAAAATATTCTTTAAAAAATTCACGCTTATGGCTCACATAACTCCCGAAAAATATTCACTAAAAAAATCATGCTTACAGCTCAGATAAAAAATTTACGCTTATATATCAGACATTTCCCGAAAGTATTCTTTATAAAATCCACGCTTATAGCTCTGATAACCCTTGAAAAATAGTCGTTAAAAAATCCCCGCTTATATCTCATCTATCTGCCAAAACAAGTTAACAAAGGCTATAATCGTGCGGGGCCGACCATGTGAAATTAGTCCAAATTAGTAGGCTTCTGTCCAGCCCCAAACTTAAACTCCATACAAAATGTCGCTTCGTGGCCAGTTGCAAAATCAGGAACTTTTTCTGTTGTTGGTCCATTTCAAAAGTTAAATGCGATCATCTCCAAAAGCAATAGGCTTCTATTCTGACCCAAACACAAACCCCATCTCCATTTTCAATTTCGTGAGGATCGTTCCAATGGCGACGTGTCTTACTAATTTATTGAGTATACAGGGTGAGATTAAAAACTGCACCCAATTTCAGACAGCTGTCATTACAAATCCACAAGTCCGACAGCTGTTAAAATTATTCTAGTGACAGCCCATTGAATTGTTTACAAGCGTACAAACGCATTTTGGTGACAATTTTCCAGAAAAAAAAATCATTTGTGACGGAATTCAAGCGTGATAGTGTGATTTCTTTATATTCGACTGGAAAGCCACAAGAGACTATCGTTAGAGCACTCCAGCAAATGTGAATAAATCTGTCTCGTCTCGTACCATCGCTCGTTACCGTGATATTGGTAGCGTAGCCCGACATCAAGGAAGTGGACGGAAGAAAATAGCAACATCATCAGAAATGGTTCGAAAAGTAAAGAAGCCACCCGCGTCGAAGTGCCCGAAAAAATGGCTCGTGAGCTGAAAATATTGCAATCTTCCATTCGGCAAATATTGAAAAATGAGATCGGGGTAAAGCCATTGAAATTCCAGAAAATTGCAAAAACTTACACCACAACAAAAGAAAAAAGACTCAAAAGAGCTAAAGAGTTGCTTCGTGTCGAACTGCCGAATTTGGTTTTCTCCGATGAGAAAACATTCGTTGTCCAGCAGTTTATAAACAAACAAAATGATGGTGTTCACTTGCCAAATAGGTCAGCTGAAAATGTGCACCTTCCGTTGGCCTCCAGAACTGAAGCGCCGGCCGTGGTGATGGTGTGGATCGCCATAAGAGCTGAGGATCGCTATCCGCTCTTATTAATCGACCGTGGCATCATAATAAATGCCGAGTATTATTGCGAAAATATTCTGGAGGGTGTATTAAAGCCTTGGGCACGCACACATTTTGGACGGAGACATTGGACATTCCAACAGGACTCAGCACCATTGTATTCAGCACGCGCCGACCTAGAATGTTTAAAAAATTGGGTTCCTCGCTTTATTTCCAGCGCGCAATGGCCACAAAAATCTCCGGATACCAATCCGTTGGACTAGCTGGTGTCTGGAGTATTTTGAAAAGCAAGGTTGGCACTAAAAAATACCAAAGTGTCGATCACCTCAAGCAAGCGCTTTGCCGGGAATGTGCCAAAATACCGCAGAACTGCATTCACGCAGCGTGTCATGGTTTCATTGGCCGTTTGAAGGCCATAATTCGTGCCAATTTGAACAAATCTAAACTTATTCTAAAATTTAATTTTTTGCTTTCATTCAATAATTTAAAATAAAATAAAAATTATGGCGTTTGACTTTGTCGCAGTTTTTCTTATCTCACTGTATTTTTCAATTGACTATTTCATAAATATGTATATCCTCCACCTTGGAAGGTATATTAATTTTGTCATTCCGTTTATAACATCCTTAAATATTCGTTGTAGACCCCATAAAGTATATATATTCATAATCAGCATAAAATTCTAAGTCGATTTACGATGTCCGTCTGCCTGTCTATCTGTCCGTCAATCTGTTGAAATCACGATACAGCCCACATTATTTGACGTAGAGCGCCAAAATTTGGCAGAGCAATTTGTATTGTGTCTAGGATGGTTGTTATTGAAAATGAGATATATCGGTCCACATTTTGGTATAGTCTCCATATAACGGTACCTCCCGATATTCGATATTTTGATTATTTATGCCACATTTTTTCACGGATTTGTCTAAAAATTGGTATTTGTTGGTCATAACAGGTTGCAGCTCCGGTGCCGAAACATTGCCGGTATGAGTTCACGATTTGGTATAGCCCCCATATAACGGTACCTCCCGATATTCGGTATTTTGATGGTTTTTGCCACATTTTTTCACGGATTTGTCTCAAAATTGGTATTTGTTGGTCATAATAGGTTTCAGCTCCGTTGCCGAAACATTGCATGTATGGGTTCACGATTTGGTATAGCCCCCATATAACGGTACCCCCCCGATATTCGGTATTTTGATGGCTTTTACCACATTTTTTCACGGATTTGCCTGAAAATTAGTATTTATAAGTCATAACAGGTCCCAGTTCATATGGCGAGACATTGCATGTATAGGTCCACCCTTTGGTATAGCCCCCATATAACGGTACCTCCCGAAATTCGGTATTTTGATTATTTTTGCCACATTTTTTCACTAATTTCTCTAAAAATTAATATTTGTAGGCCATAATGGGTCCTAGTTCGTGTGGCGAAACATTGTATGTATAGGTCCACGTTTTGGTATAGTCCCCATATAACGGAACCTCCCGATATTCGGTATTTTGATGGTTTTTGTCACACTTTTTCACTAATTTGTCTAAAAATTAATATTTGTAGGTCATAATGGGATCCGGCTCCTGTGGCGAAACATTGAATGTATAGGTCCACGCTTTGGTATAGGCCCCATATAACGGTATCTCCCGATATTCGGTGTTTTGATGATTTTTGACACATTTGTTCACGAATATCTCAGAAAATTGGTAGTTGTAGGTCATAATGGGTTCTAGCTCCTTTGACGAGACATTGCATGTATAGGTCCACGAGTTGGTATAGCTCCCATATAACGGTACCTCCCGATATTCGGCATTTTAATGTTTTTGCCACATTTCTTCGCGGATTTGTCTAGAAATTGGTATTTGTTGGTCTTAATGGGTTCTAGCTCTTTTGGCGAAACACAGTGTGTGTATAGGTCCACGTTTTTGTATAGCCCCATATAGCCGTATTTCCCGATATTCGGTATTGTGATGATTTTTGGAACATTTTCCCATAAATTTGTCTAAAAATTGGTATATGTGGGTCATAATGGGCTCTAATGTTTCCTTTACCTTAAGGTGGATTGTATTATAATTTTGGCCAGGCCGAACTTAATGTTTTTTTACTTGTTTTCCACTCTCCATTAACTTTTCATAGAATTCCAAATATGAACTGAATTGTTTCACAAAAAAAAAGATATACATCCAACGATTTAATAGAATTCCAAAATAAAAAGTACATCATCATTGAGCTGAGCATTTTTATATATGCCTCTGGTACATTTTTCCACTTTCGCTGTGAATAGATTTGAAATGTAGGTTTTGAGTGGAGCTCAACAGAGAGCAAACACACACACACACACATACACACTTAAGATGAGTCCATGAAAATCACAAAACAAAATGGGCTTCATTAGCTTTAGTAAGGCTTGTTGTTGTTGTGTGTGTTTTAATTCAGATTTGCAAGGTGGCACTGGAAGCAAATATCGTTTTTTTTTTCATTTCACACAACTTCACATCTACTTATATTTGAAATATAATTTTCTTTATATAAATCCACATTCACATCAACACCGGCACTCTTTTTTCTTTATTTGACTGTATGTGTGAGTGTGTGCTTGGAAATTTGATTTTATAATTAGCATCGCGTGTTGTTTCGTTTGCCGTTTTCTGTTTCGTTTCGTTATCAAAAGTAACTGAGATTTCTATATGTTTGTGTACATGTGTGTGAGTGTGTGTGTGTGTTCGCTTCTTTAGATTTTGGCGCAATCAAGTACTTGACCAAGTCTCAATTAAATTACCAACAACACAACGTGACTTCTAAACGATTCGTGATGCCGTTTTCTATTTTATTTTAATGTTTGTTTTCTTAGCGGTTTCCGTTGCGTTTTTTTTTTCGTTTTCTTTTATTCTCGCATTGCGCTTCACGTTGTTTTTTTTTATTTTTTTATTTCGGTTTACCGTCGCTCGTTTTTGTAACACTTTTTCTAGGATGCGTAACCAACAACTTTCCCTTTCGGCAGTCGAAACGTATCTGTGAATGGTGTAAACTTGCTATGGAATCCTTAGCATGACATTTTGAAATCTGTTAAAATAACATGCAACACAAATACAGAGAAAAGTTATGTTCTGTTAAGTTAACATTAACACGAATTCATGGGCAATTGTTTCGACCACAACAAGTGTAATTAGCAGAAATTTAAGAACGGAAATAGTCCCCAGAAAAAAAAAAAACAATCCAAAAAACCATTAAAAAATCCACGCTTATGGCTCTGATAATCCTCAAAAAAATTGTTAAAAAATCAACGCTTAAGGCTCTGATAATCCCCGAAAAAAATTCTATAAAAAGATCCACACTTATGGCTCTGATAATCCTCAAAAAAATAGTTAAAAAATCTGATAATCCCCGAAAAATCCACGCTTATGGTTCAGCTAATCCTCAAAAAAAATCGTTAAAAAATCAACGCTTAAGGCTCTGATAATCTCCGAAAAAAAAAATCTTTAAAAAATCCACGCTTATGGCTCTGATAATCCTAGAAAAAAATTCTTAATAAAAATCCTCGAAAAAAATTCTTTAAAAAATCCTCGAAAAAAATTCTTTAAAAAATCCAAGCTTATGGCTCTGAAAATCCTCGAAAAAAATATTTAAAAAATCCTAAAAAAAAAAATTCTTTAAAAAATCCACGCTTAAGGCTCTGATAATCCTAGAAAAAATTCTTTAAAAAATCCATGCTTATGGCTCTGATAATCCTAGAAAAAAATCTTTAAAAAAAATCCCCGAAAACATTCTTTAAAAAATCCATGCTTCTGATAATCCTCGAAAAAAAAAAATCTTTGAAAAATCCTCGAAAAAAATCTTTAAAAAATCCACGCTTATGGTTCTGATAATCCTCGTAAAAAAATCTTTGAAAAATAAACGCATAAGGCTCTGATAATCTCCGAAAAAAAATCTTTAAAAAATCCACGCTTATGGCTCTGATAATCCTAGAAAAAAATTCTTAATAAAAATCCTCAAAAAAAATTCTTTAAAAAATCCACGCTTATGGCTCTGAAAATCCTCGAAAAAAATATTTAAAAAATTCTCGAAAAAAAATTCTTTAAAAAATTCACGCTTATGGTTCTGATAATCCTAGAAAAAAGTTCTTTAAAAAATCCATGCTTATGGCTCTGATAATCCTAGAAAAAATTCTTTAAAAAAAAAATCCCCGAAAACATTCTTTAAAAAATCCATGCTTCTGATAATCCTCGAAAAAAAATCTTAAAAAAATCCTGAAAAAAAACTTTAAAAATCCACGATTATGGCTCTAAAAAAATAAAAAAAAAATTCATGCTTATGGCTCTGATAATCCTAGAAAAAAATTCTTTAAAAATCCTCGAAAAAAATTATTTATAAAATCCATGCTTATGGCTCTGATAATCCTAGAAAAAAATTCTTTAAAAAAATCCTCGAAAACTTTCTTTAAAAAATCCACGCTTCTGATAATCCTCGAAAAAAAAAAATCTTAAAAAAATCCTCCAAAAAATACTTTAAAAAATCCACGCATATGGCTCTGATAATCCTGGAATAAAATTCTTTAAAAAAATCCTCGAAAACATTCTTTAATAAATCCGCGCTTCTGATAATTCTCGAAAAAAATCTTAAAAAAAATCTTGGAAAAAATCTTAAAAAAATCCACGCATATGGCTCTGATAACTCTCAAAAAAAATATTTAAGAAATCAAAGCTTATGGCTCTGATAACCCTCGAAAAAAATATTTAAGAAACCAACGCTTATGGCTCTGATAACCCTCGAAAAAAAAATATTTAAGAAATTAACGCTTATGGATCTGATAACCTTCGAAAAAAATATTTAAGAAATCCACGCTTATGGCTCTGATAATCCTGGAAAAACTCTTTAAAAAATCCACGCTTATGGCTCTGATAATCCTGGAAAAACTCTTTAAAAAATCCACGCTTATGGCTCTGATAATCCTCAGAAAATCATTAAAATCCACGCCTAAGGCTAGATAATCCTCAAGAAAAAAACAATTAAAAAATCCACGCTTAATCCTGAAAAAAATCTTTGAAAAATCCAAGCTTAGTCCTCCAAAAAAAAAAAAAATAAAGAATCCAAGCTTAGTCCTCAAAAAAAGTCTTTAAAGAATCCACGCTTAATCTTCAAAAAAATAATCTTTAAAGAAACCACGCTAATGGCTCTGATAATCCTCGAAAGAATCTTTTAAAATGGTGATGGCCATTTTAAAAAATCTTCAAGAAAATCCAACCACTAAAAAAAATATTCTTTAAAAAAACCCACGCTAATAGCTCAAATGGTCCTCGAAAAAAAAAAATCTTTATCCCAGAGAGTGATCCAAAAAATAACTTACAAAATCCATACCTGTAACTCAGATGGTCATAAAAAAGTTTTAAAAAATAAACGCTTTTTCCTTAGATGACCCTCAAAAAAAGTCTTTAGCCCAGATTATCCTTCAAAATAACTTCTTAAAAAATTCAAAATTCATCCAAGTCTAAAGCTCGGAAAAAAATGTTATAAAAAATCCCCGCTGATCGCACAAGTTCTCGATATAAAAATGCATGCTGGGTTGTCTGTAACATTGAAGTCGAATTGTTGACTATAATTACCGGAAATCCTGCTAATAGCTGCTAAACTTTCAAATCATCCCAAGAGTAAATGTTAACCACATAAGTTCACCAACAAGACGCAACTTCAAACAATGTTGGAAAATATTTAACAGGGGTTTACTGCCTTGTCGTGAGGTAAAAGTTTGTTGGTTGCTGCAACAAATTTGTGGAAAGTTCAAAAAAAAAGAGGCACAACTTCGGTTGTGTTTTCGCTTGGATACAAAAATTGGTGTTCGCGGTAACATAAACGTCATTAGTGGTCCACGTGGGTTTGTTAAACAAAATAAACTTGAGAACTAACGAAATGCAACAACGGCAACACAACATGCAGTAAAAATATGTTCTTGTTTTGTGGTTGTTTCTGCCTTCACTTGTGGGCTTTTGCGCTTTTACCAGATGTTAAGACATTTTTCATTTTAGAATATCCCACATGTTAGGATATTTAAGTTATATGTCTCTAAAAAGGAATGTGTATAAAAACTGAGATAGATTATATATTTTGTTTGAGATTGCGAGTTATATATGAAATAAGGATATTTTTATAGGAACATAGTCCTCAGTTTATGAAGGCAAAAATTAATAAAAATTACGAAAATTGCTTTGAAGGTCCTTGAAAATTTTTCTTTAAAAAGTCCATGTTTGGTGGTCTTCTGGTCCTTGAATATATATTTTTTTGAAAACCAACTTTGGATAGTCTGTTAATATTAAAAAATATTTTTTTACAAATCCAGTTTGGTTCAGGTAGTCGTTGAAAAATGTAATATATTTAAAGGTGTACTGGTCCTTGACAAGTATTCCGAAAAAAAAAAAAAAAAAGATTTGTCCTTCAAAAAAATATACTTTAAAAAATCCACGCCTGATAATATGTTGGCCATAAAAAATTCACGTTTGGTGGTCCTTGAAAATTATTGTTTAAAAAATACACGATTGAAGATCTGTTGGTCCTCAAAAAAATATTCTTTAAAAAATCCACGTTTGTTGGTATTTTGGTCCTTGAAAAATATTCTTTAATATTCCTTTAAAAATATTCCTTGAAAATCACGCTTTTCTCCAGAAGTCGTTGAAAAATATTTAAAAGAAAATGTTTTGTGATCTGTTGGTCTTTGAAAAAATATTATCCACGATTGGTGATCTGTTGGTCCTTAAAAAATGCATGTTTTTACCCTGAAGTCCTTAAAATATTCTTTAAAAAAATCAAAATTTGGTGATCAGTTGGTCCTTGAAAAAATATTTTTCAAAAAATCCACGTTTGGTAGTCTGATGATCCTTAAATAATATTCTTTAAAAAATCCAAGATTGGTTCTTTGATGGTCCTTGAAAAATAATCTTTAAAAAATATAGTGTTGGTAGTCTTTTGGTCCTTTGAAATATTCTTTACAAAATCCACGTTTGGTAGTCTGATGGTCCTTAAATAATATTCTTTAAAAAATCCAAGTTTGGTTCATTGATGGTCCTTGAAAAATATTCTTTAAAAAATATAGTGTTGGTAGTCTTTTGGTCCTTGAAAAATATTCTTAAAAAAATCCACGTCTGATGGTCCTTGAAAAATATTCTTAAAAAAATCCACGTCTGATGGTCCTTGAAAAATATTCTTAAAAAAATCCACGTCTGATGGTCCTTGACAAATATTTTTTAAAAAATGCACGTTTGGCAGTCCGTTGGTTCTTGAAAGATATTTTCTAGAAAATCCATGTTTGGGCCTTGAAAATATTCTTTACAAAATCCAAGTGTGGTCCTTGAAAATAATCTCTAAAACAAAAACCTTTTGTCCTTGAAAAAAAATCTTTAAAAATTCGCGTTCGGTCCTTGAAAAAAAAAAATCTTTAAAAAATTCTCGTTTGGTCCTCAAAAAAATCTATAAAAAAATCCACGTTTGGTCCTTGAAAATAAAATCTTTAAAAAATCCACGTTTGGTCCTTTAAAATATTCTTTCAAAAATCCACATTTGGTCCTTGAAAAATAATCTTTAAAAACTCTACGTTTTGTCCCTGAAAAATATTCCTTAAAAAATCCAAGTGTGTTCCTTGGAAATAATCTTTAAAAAATCCAAGTGTGTTCCTTGGAAATAATCTTTAAAAAATCCACGTTTGGTCCTTGAAAAATAATTTTTAAAAAATCCACGTTTGGTCCTTGAAAAATATTCTTTAAAATATCCACGTTTGATCCTTGAAAAAAAAATCTTTAAAAAATCCACGTTTGGTGCTTGAAAAATATTCCTTAAAAATCCACGATTGGTCCTTGAAAAAAATCTTTAAAAAATCCACGCTTGGTCCTTGAAAAAAAAAACTAAAAAATCCACGTTTGGTCCTTGAAAAAAAAAAAAACTTTAAAAAATCCACGTTTGGTCATTGAAAAATATTCTTTAAAAAATCCACGTTTGGTCCTTGAAAAATATTCTTTA